GAGTTTGGTTTTAGGTTTTTTGGAATCTTTACAAAAACAGACTGCCACATCTTTCTCCCTTAGAGTGGCTGGTAGATTTGAACTGCTGAACAGCCAAGCACTTAATCACTGCACCACCAGGGCTCCTTAGATATAGAACTAGCCTTATAGAAAATTCAACAAATATGTCAGTTCTCCTAAAACAAACAAACAAACCAAAAAAAAACCCTCTGCCGTTGCATTGATTCTGACTCATTGTGACCCTATAGGGCAGAGTAGAACTGTTCCCATAGGATTTCCAAGACTATAAATCTTTACAGAAGCATCTTTCTCCCTCAGAACGGGGAACGGCGGGTGGGTTCAAACCATCGACCTTTTGTTTAGCCACTGAATGCCATAACCACTGCATCACCAGAACTCCTTTCAATATTCTAGACTTGCTCATAACAGCACTTGAACTGTTCTCTTTCCTTCCTTTATACTTACTCCTCTGGTTATAGCATATAAGGTATATTCCAAGCCTTTGAGTTCCATCCCTGATATCCCAAGACTACCCCAACTACAAAACTAAAGAAAAAATCAATTTCCTGTTTACATATCAAAAACTTTTAAAATAAATTTAGTAGGAAAGAAAGTGTGACTATAAAAATAAATATATCCACAGTTTTTGACATTTAGATGGCTTCAGAGTTCTTTGACTACTAGAATTAATTGAATTCCATTTCAACTACTGTTCCCTTTGTCCTCAGGGGGTCAGCATAGTGGAGCGGCAGTATATCCAGGACCGGACTCCTTCCTGGACTGGAGCGGGCTTTGTCCGAGTGCCCGAAGGGGCTTATCTGGAGTTTTTCATTGACAATATACCATATTCCATGGAGTATGACATCCTCATTCGCTATGAGCCACAGGTAAAGAAACCCCTCAGTGGACTCTAAATGAGGGGAAGGGAGTGGTCACTGGAAGTAACAAAAATCTTTCTTTTAATGGACATTACAGCCGTACTTCAGAGATATTGCAGGTTCAGTTCCAGAGCACTACAATATAGTGAATATCGCAATAGAGCAAGTCACCTGAATTTTATGTTTCCCAGTGCATATAAACATTATATTTACACTGCACTGTTGTCCATTGTGTATAATAGCATTGTGGAGAATTAACCAAAATGTGACACAGACATACTGAGTGAGTGTATGCTATTAGAAAAATGGTGTCGACACACTTGCTTTGATGCAGGATTACCACAAACCTTTAATATGTAAAAAATTCAGTATCTGCAAAGTGCAATAAAATGAGTTATACCTGTATATGTTTTTATAAAATTTGGAGATGGCATCAGAATAGGTCAACCTCTAACTCTCTAACCTCCTTCACGGAAGTTAAAATGTATGTTTTTCTTTCATTTAATTCAACAAACATTTAGAGAGCTCCTGCTAGACACTTAACCGTGCTGAGAAGTGAGGTGGTATCGAGAATGTCTGAGATCCTCTGCTTCCATTCACGGACTGCTTGGCCTCATGTCGAACACGTGTTGCAAAGTGTTGTAAAGGCAGAAGGGGCGAAAGGCAACAACAGCAGAGATATTACAAACAGTGATAGCAGCCGGAGCAGTTCATACTGGCTGAGCGGGGCCTGGGGCTGCCGGAATGTTCCCTAGAGAATAAGAGCTAGGCCTTGTTAGGGTGTAGATGGAATTTTGAATAAATGACACAAAAAAGGAAAGGAATCTGAAGGAAGGAATAGCATGAGCAGAGGAGAAGAGGAGAGTGTTTTGCGAGCCTTCCCACATAGCTGAGTAAGGGAGAGGGTTGGGGACACTCTGAGGGAAGATGTGAGCATCAGGAAAGGAATGTGGACTGTCACCAGGGCCTCGGGAACCTTTCAGAGACAGTGCTGTCTGGAAAACAGTTGAAGGATTTTGAGTAGGAGCTGGTTGTTATCTGAGCTGTGCTTCAAGAAGGAATGAAGAGGACCATGGGGAAGCAAGGAGAGCACTGGGAGGCTGTTTCAGTGTCGGGGAGAAAGATTAGGGCTGGAGCTGGGGCAGCACAGAAGGAACGGTAAAGATGGGAGGGCAAAGCACCCTACGCGTTTCCCGTCAAACTTGGCAAAGGCTGATTCAGAGCAGTCTGCAGAGGGGCAGCAGTAGGCTAATGCGAGTGGCCTTTGTGATTGCTTTTGATCCTAGTTACCCGACCACTGGGAAAAAGCTGTCATCACAGTGCAGCGACCTGGAAAGATCCCAGCCAGCAGCCGATGTGGTAACACTATACCCGATGACGACAACCAGGTGGTGTCTTTATCGCCAGGCTCAAGGTCAGCATGACAGTGGTTTGCAGCTCAACAAAACCCCCATGCAAATTAATTTTTCCTAAAGGCTTGGGAGATGTAGTTACCACTTCAGAGCCAGCCTTTGACACTCTCCCTTTAGGATTAGCTACATAGAGCTTTTGTTGTTTGTTTGTTTTAGTTTTTTGCCACTTCAAGGCTGACTTGCTGCTGCTTTTCTCTTTGTTTCGGAATAGGTATGTCGTCCTTCCGCACCCTGTGTGCTTTGAGAAAGGTGTGAATTACACAGTGAGGTTGGAGCTGCCCCAGTACACCTCCTCTGACAGTGGCGTGGAGAGCCCCTACACACTTATTGATTCAGTAAGTGGAAGTACCTTCTGAAGGGCACAGGAAAGGCTGGGCGAAGACGGTTCACCAGCATCCCCACAATTTTTTATTTGGAGCCCTGGTGGTGCAGTGGTTAAGGCATTTGACTGCTAACCAAAAGTTCAGTTGTTCAAACCCACCAGCCGCTCCATGGAAGAAAGATAGGGCAGTCTGCTTCCATAAAGATTTACAGCTTTGGAAAAACCCAGTGCAGGTTGCTATGAGTTGGAATCACCTCAAAAGTAGTGGGTTTGGTTTTGGTAACATTCAGAGGTGAAGGGGAAGTGTTCTTTCTTACCTCAGAAGCTGTTTTGCGCATTTGTTTAAATAACTTCCACCCTGTGAAAAGGTTTTATTCAAATCAGTTCCTTCTGGAAATAGGAAGTGACTCTTTAAAAAAAGTGCCATTTCAGAAACCATCAAGCTATGTGAAGGATTTCTAAACTTTTCCTGGAGGTGTCTTTAAGAATGGCAAGGTTTTTGTTTTGCTATTTTATGAGCCTTGCTTTCTCTTTTCAAGTACCAGAGAAGCATTTGGGGGTTTTGTGCATTGACTTGCTTTAACTGATGACATGAGACAACAGCATAAGAACATTTTGCTGCTCTCATTCCATCATAGCTTGTTCTCATGCCATACTGTAAGTCACTGGACATCTTCACTGTTGGAGGTGCAGGAGACGGTTTGATCACCAACAGTGCCTGGGAAACCTTTCAGAGATACCGCTGTCTGGAAAACAGCAGAAGCGTTGTGAAAACTCCAATGACAGATGTTTGCAGAAACATCATCTTCAGCATTTCTGCCCTGTTACACCAGACAGGCCTGGGTAGGTGGTGTGTAGGGGCTGTGGCTGTGGCTGTAGCTGTGGCTGCTTCCATGTCTTCTTTTTTAGAGCCAAGAGCACAGCTGGTCCCTTGAGGCACATTAGGATGCATGCCCTATAACAATTTGTCATTATTCTTTAAAAATAATACTCTAGTGGTAGAGTGTCATAGTCAATGGAGTCAATTTTTAAGAAATAGCACAAAGAACAGATGATGAGAGGAAAAAGTCCCTGAGAATATAGGATTTCCATCCAGGGTGGGGAGCTGGGATGGAATTAGAGAAGCATCAAATAACTGAAATGTATGTTTTTCTCTTAGAAGGGTCAGACCAACCCCTGGGCTTTTGTTTCATGTCCTGTGATATTTGAGCTTTGAAGGCATGAGGAACAAACCCTCATGACCTCCTGCCTGGAAAAGCTGCTTTTTATCTACCAACTCTGCCTCCTGTTTCTTCCTGCCCCACCATATAGGGATGGCATTGTTTTTGCTCAGAATTCTGAGTAAGGTAGAGTAGTAAAGGAGAGTCGGGAAGAGTCCAGGGAAGGGGGGTGCACTGTCAGGCAGGTGTGATGTGCCACACACGCTTCTCTCTATGGGGCTGGAGTCAGCTGCTTGGTGTCTTAGGGTCTGGTCTCTCTTTGCCCTGCAGCTTGTGAATGCGACCCTCAGGGTTCATTAAGTTCCGTCTGTGACCCCAGCGGAGGCCAGTGCCAGTGCCGGCCCAACGTGGTTGGAAGAACCTGCAACAGATGTGCTCCTGGCACCTTTGGCTTTGGCCCCAGTGGATGCAAACGTAGGTTAATCACAAGAATTTTAATATATTCATGAAGACACAGTGAGCAATACTGGTATGGTGTTTTCCATTCACTGAGTTTCTCAAGGTTGGTTCCTTGATTACCTGTCTCTTCAGCTTGTGAATGCCATCTGCAAGGCTCTGTCAATGCCTTCTGCGATCCCATCACCGGCCAGTGCCACTGTTTCCAGGGGGTGTATGCTCGGCAGTGTGACCGCTGCTTACCTGGGTACTGGGGCTTTCCAAGTTGCCAGCCCTGCCAGTGCAATGGCCATGCCGACGACTGCGATTCAGTGACAGGGGAGTGCTTGAGCTGCCAGGACTACACCGCAGGTCATAACTGTGAAAGGTATGGGTTCGCTGCCTCTTGAAAATAGAGAGGACAAGGTTGCCCTTGGTTGTGCAGATATCTTTGATGAAGTACAGAATTAATTTCTATGAGGCTCTACATGTTTCATTCGTTTCTGCCCACCTCAGCATTTTCTAGGAATTCATTCATGTAGCCAGTACTTATTTAGTTAGCACTTCTATGTGCCAGGCACTGTTCTGGTGCCAGGGATAAGGAAGAGAGCAAAATTGGCATGAGTCTCCACTGTCTTGGAGATACACTCCAGGGTCGCCATGGATCTGTGTAGAACTCATACCTTTATCTCAGCAAATTTCTGACTTAGGATGAGGGCTGTGAAATGGGAATGCCTAATTTGGGTCAAAGTAGAAGCCAAATCCAAATGAGATTAGTCATTTTAGATAGTTTTGTATTTAAAAACATTTTATGCAGCTATAGTTTCCAGGAAACCATCGAAAATGTATGAAACTGGATCTGTTCTCTGGTTAGCAAATACATGAACTAAATAATTATCATGGTTGCAAAGCACTGTACCAGATATGGTAAGAATAGGATTTAGACTGTGCCTGCAACAACATGACAGTGTAGCTCAGGAGATCCGAAATCCCCCATATGAAAAAGTTAGGTGCTCACTTACGTTATTCATTGCTAATTAAGACATGCAGACATACATATTACAGATTCTGTTTTTTTGGAAGGTGATAATCTCCACCTTTCCATGTCAATAAATCTCCTCTAATGCCCAGTCCATTTTGTATAAGATGTTTATTTTAAAAAACCACTTGTGAAATGTTTCAGCAAGTGCTTCAGTCAGTACAAAAGGTGCTCAGGTGAGAGAAAACTCAGCGAAGGTTGAATGGGTGGTTAACGTAGGTTGTGGAGATGGGTACAGGAGCCAACACGTGGCTCTGGCTCTGTGCTAGGGTGGTATCCGAGAATTTGGAGGTTCCACTGACTATTAAAAGTTATTCCTTCCAACCCTAAAATTCTGTCATAAAAAAATAACATAGAAGCAGCTATAAAAGACTATAAGGAGGAGATTAATATATTGGTATCATCTTTCGTTTCTTCTGTAAAAATTTTATGGTTGTTCTTTCAATGGGTGATGGCGAATAAGTGAGAGAGAGAGAGAGAGAGAGAGATGAGAAAATCAGATTTACAAAGGGAGACCAGAGTGGGTGGGTGAACTTAGGTCAAAGTAGAGGTGATTGTCCACGAACTGATTCCAGATCAGTCTGTCACACTGTGGAATGTGTCTGAAGGAGCTTCCTGTGAGAATGGCTTGGTTTATGGCTGTGATTGCCTTTCGGAATTTGACTCTTAAAAGGATTTTCATGTCTTGAGGAGGAATAAGAAAGGGCCTGGAGGAGGTGAGATGTCAAGCCCTAGGTTGGATAACAAAAATGTTTATTAAGTATTTGGAACCCTGCTATCTAGGTTAGGCCAGTTTTTCATTATTCTGTTTCTCATTCCAAGATCATCAGAGTTACATCCCATGAATTTGGAAAAAGAAGTCTGGGCTCAAATTGTTCCCAAGGGGGGAAGAGTATGGGGGACTGGAAGTGAACACAAATATCTGTCATAATGTATTTGGACTTATTTCACCTAGAAAAATCCCTTAGAAACTTTCTCAGAAACTATTGTACAAAATTGCTTCATCATTATACCCCAGCGCATAATCAGGGAACATTGCCTTATGCTATAGCTTAGAACTATGTCTAATTAAACAGAAGGTTAATTTCCTCTGAACAGATTATCCCTCTTAATTCTTCCCCCTCTCATTTTTTAAAAGATATACTGTTACCTCTGCCTGAAAAGAACATGAGAAACAAAATGAATGGGAAATCCTTAGACCTGAGTTCCAGGCTCAATTCTGCTTCTCACTTGCCTTATAACTGCCCCCCACCCCCAAGTATCCATTTCCACCGTAAAATAACTAGGTTGGATTAGGTGGTCTCCAGCGTTCTTTCAAGCACTTACATTACAGAAAATTTTTAAAAAAGGAAGCTAATTATCATTATTCTTGAGAAACAACATGATATGATAGAAGAATTCTTTGTTAAAAGGAGTCTGAATTCAAGTTTTAACTTCTTATTAACTAACCTTAATCACTTAGCAATTATGGATTCCTTATCTGTAAACAAAGAGATTGTACCTATGGGTTTTGGGGGTGGATAACTGGCATCCCTTTTGCCTGCCCAAGTTTGATACCACCTCAGGGACAGACACAGGAGTCCCACAGCTGGAGATCATCCCTGTCGCCTCTATTACTGGTAAAAGCTGGATTGCACTTGGGGCTTTAGGTCTGTGGCCACCATAGACTTGTGAACACATTGCCCAACCCAGGCCAAGCAGAGTCAACTTCCAGCCACCCCCACAAGGACAGGCCCTTTAATTTGAGAAGAAGCAGGTCAGAACATACACGTGGTAGGCAGGAGGATGCAGACGGGAGATGTGTCTTCTCTGGGGAGGAGCAATGAGGGGTGTTACTCCATGCTGTGGTTCTGCGGGTGTGGTCCCCAGACGAGCAGCAGCCGCAGCACCTGAGAACCTGGCAGACATGTACATTCTTGGGCCCCTCTCCAGACCTACTGAATTAAACCCTGGGGGAAGAGCCTAGCAATCTGGGTTTAATAAGCCCTCTAGATGATTCTAAGGAGCTCTGGTGGTACACTGCCTAAGGCATTGGGCTGCCAACCAGAAGGTTCCCACCAGCCACTCTGCAGAAGAAAGACTGGGCAGTCTACTTCTGTAAAGATTTACTGCCTCGGAAACACAATGGGGGTTGCTACGAGTTGGAATTGACTCAATGGCAGTGGGTTTGGTTGTTTTGGTTTTAGGTGATTCTAATGGGAGCTAAAGACTGAGAATCACTGCTGTAATGGAAGGTCTTCCACATAGAAATAAGGAATGAAGAGTGAATGTTCCCAAAAGGAACATTTTCTATGACTTTTTTTCAGTTTCTTACCACTGGGATTCATGGCTCTTTTTCTTCTGTGATTGGTCTAGGTGCTTGGCTGGTTACTATGGTGACCCCATCATTGGGTCAGGAGATCACTGCCGCCCTTGCCCTTGCCCAGATGGTCCTGACAGTGGACGCCAGTTTGCCAGTAGCTGTTATCAAGATCCTGTTACTTTACAGCTTGCATGTGTCTGCAGTCCTGGATACATTGGTAAATAATGTGCATACTTTTGGTGGCAAAGAGGGTGGAAAAGATGTGTCATTAGTTGTTAATGAGGAAAAAGGTAGCTGAGCTAGCCAATGTAGTTCCATTTTTATAATCCTTAATTGAAAGTTAAGGGGTCTGGAATATATAAGTTGTTCTTTTCCTATTTGGCAGGTAGGGTAGAGTCAATTTTGAGTCTCTATGATAGCAATGAAGGAGCTTTGGTGGCGCAGTGGTTAAAGCATTTGGCTGCTAACCAGAAGATCGGCAGTTTGAAACCACCAGCTACTCCACAGGAGAAAGATGTGGCAATCTGCTTCCCTAAAGATTAGAGCTTTGGAAACCCTATGGGGACAATTCTCCTCTGTCCTGTGAAGTTGCTATGAATACAAATCGATTTGATGGGAGTGAGTATGATAATAATAATATAACACAGAGCAAGAATAGCAAGCTCATTTAAATCCATCAGTGAAACCCTATGAAACACTTTATCTGTGGTTGAACAGTAGAAAGCGTAATTTAAATTTTATTTTTCCCTTCCCTTATCCAACTCGTAAAGAGCTCTGGGGGTGCCAGTGGTTAAGTGCTTGGCTGCTAATTGAAAGCCTGGCAGTTTGAACCCGACTGGCTCCATGGGCGAAGGGTAATCATGGAGATTATAGCCTAGGAAACCCCATGGGGCAGTTCTGCTCTGTCATAGGGTCCCTGAGTCTAAAGTGACTCCACAGACACCCAACAGGCACATCCTACTTGTAGCAGAAGCATCTCTAAGCAGCAAAGTGGTCAAATGGTGGGCAGAAGGAAGAAAAGAGTATCACCAGGGTCCCCAGGTAGCTGAACCAAGCACGCCTAGATATTTTCTCCATTGTTCTATGTTCACATTATCAGTCAACACTAAATGAGTTTAGCTGGTTGTGAAAAGAAACTCTTTTATTTCATCCTTGATGCCACTGTTTCAAATACTATTTATGATCATCAGTAAATATTTGCGTATGATTTTAGTATTTCTGAGAAGGGGGAATTAGACATCATTATTAAACAAACTGGGAGCTCTGGTGGTGTAGTGTCTAAGGCATGTGACTGCCAACTAGAAGGCTGGTGGTTCAAACCCACCAGCCACTCCTTGGAAAGAAGGTTGGGCAATCTACTTCCATAGTGATACTGCCTCGGAAACCCAAGGAGGGGTCACTATGAGTCGAATCCCACTCAAAGGCAGTGAGTTTTTGTGGTTTTTTTTAAACAAATCAGTTACCATCAAGATGAGTGACTCATGGCAACCACTTGTGTATCAAAGTAGAACCATGCTCCGTAGGGTTATTAATGACTAACTTTTCAGAAGATCAGCAGGCCTTTCTTCTGAGGTGCCTTTGGGTGCAGCACCCAACCCTTCAGTTAGTGGAGAGTGTGTTAGCCATTGGCACCACCCAGGCGCTCCTGATCACACCATTAAGGACTCCATTTTTCAGGTTGCTCAGAAAGGAGCAGTGCCTTTTCAGTTTATACAATCATTGGATTAGGATTCTAATACTGAGCTGAACTTGACATTGTCAGACCATTATTTAACTAAAGTCCCATGTGCTAAAATAAAACTCTTGTAACTTCCCATGAGACACAGTGGCCTCTGAGGCAACCGGTCTGTGACAGTGCTAGTGACTACAGAATTTCTCTTTCTCTTCACAACAAGAAGCTGTTCCTTCCCCAGCTCTGTCTGTACTGCAGTGAAGCACATAGGCAGGTGGATTCTAGGCAGAAATGTCAGTTGACTGGTGAGCCTTTCAGCCAACAAGTTAAAAGTGTTGTTCTTGGTTTTATTGGACAACAGGCTCCAGATGCGATGACTGCGCCTCGGGATTCTTTGGCAACCCCTCGGATGTCGGCGGGGCGTGCCAGCCTTGCCATTGTCACCACAACATTGACACAACCGACCCGGAAGCCTGTGACAAGGAGACTGGAAGGTGCCTCAAGTGCCTGTACCACACGGAAGGAAACCACTGCCAGCTGTGCAGGTTCGGTTACTACGGAGACGCCCTGCAGCAGGACTGTAGAAGTAAGACCAGTGATTCCCACCTTCTGCTCACTGTCAGGGGAAATACATGTGCAGAGAGAGAACATTTCACCCTCAAACAAAGACAAATGTGGCTTTTCCTCCCCTTTTAAATCATTTTCTGGCAGGACTGAAATCATAAGATGTGACCCCAGTGCCTGTGGGGAGACAACTAAAAGGAAAAACTGTTGTTGTCACCATAATAAACACTATCCACAGTTTATTGATTTTATGTTCTGCTCACGAACTTTCTGATTGGATGCGATTGATAGATCCTAAACACCCACTTAGCTCCACAGCTTTTCTGATGTCAGTGATGGAGTAGAGCCTTCCACCTGAGGGAGAAGAAGGAAGGAACTTCTCTGAAATCCTCTCTTTCAGAACTGTTTCTCTCTTATCCAGAGATCAGCCGGCATTTCCTCTGGGGCTGTGCAAAGCCCCCAGGCCACTGTCTTTGTTTATATAAACATGTCTGGAATGTTGGGGACCAGCAGGACTGGATTCCTCAAAGCTCTGCTAGCTTAAAGGGCTTCGACCTGCTATGCCTGATACATGTGTTACTGCTGCTCCCTGCCAAGAATTTGAAATGATTAGATAGCTCAGTTCCCACTGGCATCTTACTTACTATTTCCACTTAAATCCTCAAGTTTTAAAATGATTCATTTGCAGCTTGTTAAGTTCATGTATTCTGAAAATACCACTAGACAAAATGAGCCATTGTGCCTGTCTGCCTGGGAGATGTCAGATTGGTGCAATCCATCCTAAGACTTTCAGAGGATCGATAATTTTAGGGTTGTGGGTTTTTTATGGTTGTTTTTATCACCCTATTTATTTCCCTAGTTCTTTGCACGTCAGCCTTGGGATCTGGAGAGGGGAAATCTTAGCTGTTTGCCTGTAACTAAGCTTTGCACAGTCTTCTGTATATTGGTGAATGTGAATACAGCGGATCTGACCTCAGTGCTCTTTTTCAGAGTGTGTCTGCAATTACCTGGGTACCGTGCAGGAGCACTGCAACAACTCTGACTGCCAATGTGACAAAACTACCGGTCAGTGTTTGTGTCTCCCCAATGTGATCGGGCAGAACTGTGACCGCTGTGCACCCAATACCTGGCACCTGGCCAGCGGGAGTGGGTGCGACCCATGCAACTGCGATGCTGCCCATTCCTTTGGGCCGTCCTGTAACGAGGTGAGGAGCTCTGGCTGAAGGCATGGCTGTTATGGGGCCAGGATGGCGGGGAGTGCTGGCCCAGTCAGTGGCCCCAGTTAGACAAAGACACCCAGCTTGGGTGGCACAGGCTGGGCTGGATTTCAGCCCTCACTGCCCCTCTTGGCTGGAACTACACAACTGTGTGTAGAGGCCATAGCTGACCCTGCATAGCCTTTCAGTCTGTTGCCCCAGCTGCTATGCAGACTCATGTCAGAGCAGACAATGGCATGGTGCTTCCCTTTAACACCTAGCTGCTGAATCCGACTGTTTTTTAGCTTTACTGCTTGGAAGAACTAAATAACTAAGCCCAGAACTGTAAAAGCTTCTTTCATTGCCTAATACACACTGAGAATGTGGTTCTGACTAAGGTCAGGTGAGTCACAGCTGGCCAAGGACGTTTATTGATCCGTGAGGAAAACTATGAACAATGTGAAATGTCCTGTGGACCGCACCAGCTGCAGAAGAGTAGGAGAGTATGAACCAAACTGGGTTCATATCAACTGTACCAAAAACCAGGAGAGCAGATGCCGCCTGGGGTTCTCAGCACCTAAGATCAGAGTAAGATTCCTTTTTCCGAGTCAGGAAGTGGAGGCAAACAGCTGAGTCCCACTTCTAACTGGCAGCTGACAGAGAAAATAAAAAACTAGCTTCTGCTCTGAAGCCTGCCTGACCAAGTTCTGTTTTCTGGCCACAGTTCACGGGGCAGTGCCAGTGCATGCCTGGGTTTGGAGGCCGCACGTGCAGTGAGTGCCAGGAGCTCTTCTGGGGAGACCCCGAAGTGGAGTGCCGAGGTGAGGCTGTGCCGTGCTGGGTGCTGGTGCTCTCAGCCACCCAGAATTTGGTCAGAGTGTTAGGGAACCAATGTGTGTAAAGGAACAGATGTGTGCAAGAGCTGTTTATAAGGTCTAAAGTGAGGTACAAATTAATTTGTCTATAAGAGCTCTATGTATAATTCTAAAAGAAAGCAATGGTCATTGTGAAAAAAAAAAAAGAAAAGCTATAGATAGAGGCTTATGAAAGTGTAATAGAAAGTAGATGTGCTTACTCCTCCATCCCTGTTTCTCAAGGGTAGTACTTGGCTCTGCACGCACACACACACCCACACACACACCACAAGAACACAGTCTTTTTAAGTGCTTTTAACCAAAATGGGTTCATATTAACCATACCAAAAACCAAACTCACTGCCGTCAAGGCAATCTTGACTCATAGCAACCCCTCCTAGAGTTTCCAATGGAAGATTGCCCAATCTTCCTTCCTAGGAGTGGCTGTTGGGTTTGAACTGCCAGCCTTCTAGTTAGCAGTCAGATGCCTTAGGCACTATACCACCAGAGCTCCCCATTGTTATTGTTGTTATGTGGCATTGAGTCTGGCCCGACTCATAGCGACCCCTCCTTGGATTTCCAAGGCGGTATCACTATGGAAATAGGTTGCCCAACCTTTCTTCCGGGGAGCGGCTGGTGGGTTTGAACTGCCAACCTTCTGGTTAGCAGTCAAATGCCTTAGGCACTATGCTACCGGAGCTCCCAGAGCTTCCCATATTAACCATATCTTTCTGGAAATGCATTTCTTCCCCCCTGAATGGTCTTGTGCCAGCTTCCCTGACAGCATGTGCAGAGATAAATGGCTGTGCCCTGAGATCCTTTGCCCCATTGCACCCAGTGGGACGTGCTGATGGGGCATGGCCATGGGGAATGTGCTCCAGTGTAATGTCCCTACCAGTGAGAACTGGGGGGCGATGTTGGTGTAGGCTCTGCGTGCCCAGCAAGGGGAATATGTGGCCACAGCACCTCTCAGGCTGTTAAAGGTGAAGAAAACCCAGGTTCTCACTTAGGCTTACTATAAATTAGGACTGCAATGAAACATTTGACATTTTCTTAACCAAAAAAAAAAAAAAAAACTTGTTAAAATCATGTGACCCATACCATTGCTTAATCTTTGTTCTGTTGCAATTTTCTGACCTGTCATACTACTTTTCAGATCTTAAAGCAGAAGTATTTATGGAAAAGATTTAATAGGCTGTTTCTTCTCTGGTTTTCTATTCTTTCTTTCTAACTTGGGTTTTTTCCCTGTGTTTTTAATTTATAGCTATGGTGAAGTATTTTCTACAGTTTCCTAGTTGTTCTTTTATAACATGCTCTTTGAAGCACATCTGAAATTATAGGTCACTATTGGACTCTTAAAAGGAGCTCTGGTGGTGCAGTGCTTAAGGCCAGAAGGTTGGGGTTTCAAACCCACCAGCCACTCTATGGAAGGAATATGGGGCAATCTACTTCCGTAAAGGTTTACTGCCTTGGAAACCCAGTGGGAATTGCTATGAGTTGGAATCAACTCGATGGCAGTGGTTTGGTTTTTGGTTTAATGGACTCTTAAAGGAGCACTGATGGCATAGTGGTTAAGCACACCAAAAGGTCAACAGTTCCAACCCATCAGCTGCTCCGTGGGAAAAAGATGTGGCAGTCTGCTTCCATGAAGATTTATAGCCTTGGAAACCCTGTAGGGCAGTTCTTCTGTCCTATAGGCTTAGTATATAGTGCCAGAAGATGAGCTCCTCAGGTTGTAAGGCACTCAAAATACAACTGGGGAAGAACTGCCTCCTAAAAGTAGAGGTGACCTTAATGACATGGATGGAGTAAATCTTTCTGGAGCTACATTTCCTGATGTGGCAAGACTCAAAATAAGAAGAAAGAGCTGCACATATTCATTAATAATTGGAATGTGGAATGTACAGAGTATGAATTTAGGAAAATTGGATGTTTTCAAAAATGGAATGGAATGCATAAAGATCAGTATCCTAGGCACTAGCTGAAATGGACTGATTTTGGCCACTTCGAATCAGACAATCATATGTCTACTATGCTAGGAATGACAAATTGAAGGGGAATATAATTGCGTTCATTGTCAAAAAGAACATTTCAAGATCTATCCTAAAATACAATGCTTTCAGTGATAGGATAACATCCATATGCCCACAGGGAAGACTAGTTAATACTACTGTTTTTCAAATTTACACACTAATCACTAAAGCCAAAGATAAAGAAACTGAGGACTTTTACCAACTTCTGAAGTCTGAAATTGACCAAACGTGAAATCAAGATGTACTGATAATTATTGGTGACTAGAAATGTGAAATTTAGAAACAAAGAAGAAGCATTGGGAGTTAGAAAATATAGCCTTGGAGATAGAAATGATGCTGGAGACCACATGACAGAATTTTGCAAGACCAACAACTTACTCATTGCAAATACTGTTTTTCAACAAACAAATATGGCGGCTGTACACACGGACCTTGCCAGATAAAATATACGGGAATCAGATTGACTACATCTATGGAAGGAGGTGATAGAGAAGCTCAAATCATTAGTCAAAACAAGGCCAGGAGCTGACTGGAACAGACCATCAACTGCTCATAAGCAAATTCAAGTGGAAGCTGAAGAAAATTAAAACAAGTCCACGAGAGCCAAAATACGATGCTGATTATATCCTACCTAAATTTAGAGACCATCTGAAGATTAGATTTGACCCATAGAACACCAGTGATGAACTAGATGAGTTGTAGGTTGACACCAAGAACATCATATATGAAGAAAGCAAAGTCATGAAAATGACCAGAAAGGAAGAAAAGACCAAAATGAATGTCAGCTGAGACTCTGAAATGTGCTCTTGAACAGAGAATAGCCAAAGCAAATGGAAGAAATGATGAAATAAAAGAGTTGAACAGATTTCAAAGGGTGACTTGAGAAGATAGTTAAGTATTATAATGAAACGTGCAGAGACCTAGAATTAGAAAAACAAAAGGGAAGAACACACTCAGTATTTCTGAGGCTAAAAGAAATGAAGAAATTCAACCCTCAAGTTGCAATATTGAAGGATTCTAAGGGCAAAATATTGAATGATGCAGAAAGCATCAAAAGAAGATGGAAAGAATACACAGTCACTGTTTCAAAAAGAATTAGTTGATATTCAGCCATTTCAGGAGGTAGCATGTGATCAAGAACCAATTGTATTAAAAGAAGAAGTCCAAGCTTTGCTGAAGAAATTGGCAAAAACAGGGCCCCAGGAATTGATGGAATACCCATTAAGATGTTTCAACAAATGGATACAGCACTGAAGGCACTTACTTGTTTAAGAAATTTGGAAGACAGATACCTGGCCAACTGACTAGAAGGGATCCATATTTGTACCTATTCCAAAATTTTCTAACAGTATCAATATCACATGCAAGTAAAGTTTTGCTGAAGGCAACTCAAACAACAGTTGCAGCCAAACATTCATAGGGAACTGCCAGAAATTCAAGCTGGATTCAGAAGAGGACATGGAATCAGGGGTATCATGGCTGATGCCAGATGGACCTTGGCGAAAGTAGAGAATACCCAAAAGATGTTTCCCAGTGTTTTACTCATTATGCAAAGGCATTCAACTCTGTGAATCATAACAAATTATGGATAACATTGCAAAAATTGGGAATTTCAGAACACTTACATGTACTCATGAGGAATCTGTACATAGTCCAAGAGGCTGTCATTCAAACAGAAAAATGTGATAGTGCATGTTTTAAGATCAGGAAAGGTGTGCATCAGGGTTGTGAACTTTCATACTTATTCACTGTGTATGTTGAGCAAATAATCCAAGAAACTGGACTATGTGAAGAGAAACATGGCATCAGAATTGGAGGAAGACTCATAAATAACCTGCAATATGCAGATGACACAACCTTGCTTACTGAAAGTTAAGATGACGTAAAGCATTTACTGATGAATGTCAAACACTGCAACCTTCAGTACGGATTACACCTCTACATAAAATAAAATATCCTCACAACTGGACCAGTAAGCAACATCATGATTAATGGGAGAAATAAATGAAGTTGTCAAGGATTTCCTTTTACTTGGATACACAGTCAACAACTGGAAGCAGCAGTCAGGTGATCAGACATCATATTGCACTGGGCAGATCTGCTGCAAAAGACCTCTTTAAAGTATTGAAGAACCAGTATGTCACTTTGAAGACTAAGGCACACCTAACCCAAGCCGTGGTATTCTCAGTCATCTCATATGCATGAGAAAGCTGGACAACGAATAAGGAAGACCAAAGAAGAGTTGATGCAACTGAATTATGGTGTGGCAAAGAATACTGAAAATATCATGGACTTCCAAAAGAATTAACAACTATGTCTTAAAGAAGTACAGCTGGAATTCTTCTCAGAAGTGGAAAATGGCCAAACTTCTTCTCACCTAGTTTGGTCATGTTGTCACAAGAGACCAGTCCCTGGAGAAAGATATCATGCTTGGTAAAGTAGAGGGTCAATGAAGAAAGGGAAGACCTTCAGCAAGATGAATTGACACAGTGACTACGCTGACAGTGATGGGTTTGATCATAGCAAGGATTGTGAGGACACTGCAGGACTGGGCAGTGTTTTGTTCTGTTGTACACAGGGCTGCTATGAGTTGGAGCCAACTTTATGGCACTTAACAGCAAGTAAGGTCACTGAGAGTCAGAATTGACTTGAGAGCAATGGGGTATTAGACTCTAAGTAAAATATGACCTTGTGGGTAGGGCAGTATAACTGCTGTAGCAAGAAATAATATAGCTCTTGAAGTTAGCAACTCATTCATTATCTTCTATAAAAGAAGCCTAGATACTTTGTGTTCCTTCAGCATCTAAAACCATCTTTTCTTTAGCAGCATGAAAACTTCTAACAGTAGGCAAAGCCAGAACACATTACATATGATTTCTTTTTAAAATTCAATCTTAACCAGAAGTGTTTGGAGATTAAGTCTTGTTGCATGGA